GCGTCACGCTGCGCTGTGCGGCCTAGAGGAGCCAGTCTTAGAGGAGCCAGTCTTAGAGGAGCCGGTCTTAGAGGAGCCAGTCTTAGAGGAGCCAGTCTTAGAGGAGCCAGTCTTAGAGGAGCCAGTCTTAGAGGAGCCAGTCGCCGCCCCTGCGAGAGCTGTGCCGTTGAGTCCGCGCAACCGCTCTGGTGCGCACGGCCTGGTGGGCACGGCTTCGGCCTCGAGACCTCGAGACCTCGAGACCTCGAGACCGGGCCTGCGACTCGCCACTCGCCTCGCGTGCCGGTAGGTGCGGCGGGCAGCTGGACGACCCGAGCGAGGCGCAGGTGCTGCACGCGCCGGGCTGCAGGCACTCCAGCGGCGGCTACCTGCGAGGTCCGCGGCCGGCAGTCTCGCAGAGCGGGAGCGGCAGAGGCGTGCGGTAAGACTCTGAGTCCAAGAGAGGAAAAAGTGAGAGAGAGGAGAGACGTCTGAGAGAGCGCAGCGGGCAGGCCCACGCTCCGCGCCTTGTGGCAGGGCTCTTCGCTGTAAAAAGAACGAACGAGACCCCCCGTACGAACGAGAGGAGCAGGAGGCAACGTGCGAGCTCTCTCGACATCAAGAGAAAAATTAAAATAAGTAATACGAAAATCGTAATCGAACACGAATTACGAATGACAGAGCTCACACAGAGGAATGTGTTGGAGATTCTCCGCGGATTGATACACCGCTTTTTACGGCTCTGGGCCCAGCCCCACCTTGCCACCTCCCCGTACACTTTTTACCGTACGGCCTCCTCCCTACGGCTTTACGCCGGTCCGAACGTCGACCAGTCTTGGAGAACCCTGTCCACGCCTGAGGATTCTGCACTAGCGATTCTGCCACCCAAGACAGGATTCTGTTTGCGGAGGCTCAAGAGGGATTCGTGTCCGTTTCTTCTGATTCTCACTCTCCTTTTCCGGTTCTGCCTACTCGATCTGATTCTGCCCGTCCCCTTTCCACGCACTCAGCCTCCGGGCAGGATTCCTCACCCAGCTTCCGTTTCTGCCTAATCGATCTGATTCTGTCCGTCCGATTCTCGCCTTATCAGATTCTGTCGCGCGGTTGCGGTTTCTGCCTCCGGATGCCGGAAAGGGAATTTTCCGCTTGCCGGCCGATTTCTTGGCAACCCGGCCGGACTCTCGTTTCCTGATTCCTGTTTTTGCCCGTCGAGGGGCGGTAGCCCGGCCGGCCGGCCATCTGGGCATGCTCACTCAACCAATCACGCTCATGTGTACGCGCCGTATCCTCCGCGCCACCCACTTTGCCATCGAAGTGCGCTCCGCGCTCCGCACAGTACAGTCACTTTTGAACGGCGGCTCATCACACGTGCGTCAGAGATCTCATGGGCGGTGGCATGATGGAGCCAGAGCAGTGCGCGGCCGATCTTAATTCTGGGCAGGCGGTCTCCCATTCCCGCGGGCGCTTGGTGCCGGGGTTTGAACGGCATGCCGGCGTCAGATGCAGCTTGGCGCCGGCCTGCGGCGACCCCGCAAGCGGTCGTTGGTGCTGCTCAGCGATGCTCACAGCGGCACGTCTGCTCTTTTGCTGTGGGGAGTGCTGTCTGATTGGGTCTCCAAGCCCGCGGGCTCGCTGTGAATGCACCCGCCAGCTAGGCAGCTCCGCGGCGGTGTGGGTGTAGAACGGGTAGGCTGCTGTCTCGTGTCTCGGTGCTCGTACTAAGTCAATGGGAGGAGTGCTTCAATTTCTTCTTCTTATACGCCCAGCTCAAAAGCACACACGCATCACGACGCCTAGACAGGCGAGACGCGGCGACAGCCGCGGCGAGCTCGTTTTAGAAGCGAGCCGCTCGCGGCGAGCAGTTTTAGAAAAAGGGAAAGGGGGAGGGTTAGTTTGAACCCGAGCCGAGCTTCGCTCGGCTCCCCCCCGCGCGGGAGCGCCCCCCCCCCCTCTCCTCGGGGGGACGGGCAGAGCCCGCACCACACACTGCGCCTTTGCGGACGCCGGACCGAGGCCTAAGCGCTGAGTGCGCTGACGTGAGGCTGGAGCGCCAGAGACCCGCGCCTGAGCATGCTGCCGCGGGCAAAATTTGAGAAGTTGAACGCCTTTGGTTGATGGAAAAGCCCCCCCCGCCGGCCACAACGGCAAATATCGGCTCAGGAGTTCGGAGAGTCAGGCCAACATAGGTGATAGGATCCCGCCGAAATGCGTAACTCCGAGGAATCAGGAATCAGGAATCAGGAATCAGGAATCAGAATCCCGGTCAAAATGTTGGAATCAGGAATCAGGAATCAGGAATCAGGAATCAGGAATCAGAATCCCGGTCAAAATGTGGGCGATCCGACAAATCAGGAATCAGGAATCAGGAATCAAATGGAGCATCAAGAATAGGAAGAGAGACAGGAGAATCGGGAGGGGGGAGCAGAATCAGGAATTGGCTCTGGCTGCCCTAGAGAATCGGAAAGGAAGCGGAGGAACGAGAATGGAGAATAGGAAGCTGAAAGCGGGGCCAAGATGGGAGAGTCTGGGGAGAGAATCAGAATATCTGAGCAGAAGAGGAACCTGGGAAGGGGAATCTAGTGAGAGGTAGAATAGCAAGAATCCTTGTGTAGTAGAGCAGAATAGGAAAGGCAGAATCCTTAGGCGCGGACAGACTTCTCCATTACTCACGTCGACGTAAACGTAGGCGGTAAGGAGCTGATACAGCTGCGTCTATGTAGACGGACAGAGGTCAGAGAGAGCCACAGAGCGGCGTGCATGCGCAACCCGCGACGAGAGCAAAACGTATACGATCTAGGGTGGGGGGCGCACGGTGACCCCAGAGGAGGAAGGCAGTCACGTGCTCCCCTTCGTCGGCTTCGGCCCGCGGAGTGCGCTCCACGCGCGATCGCGCTGCACGACGCCGCGCCAGTACGAGTCCGGCTCGAAGCCCTCGGTGCAGCCAGGAGAGACGAAGGGCTGCTCGCAGCCGCAGAGCTGCTTCCAGCCGTCGCCCGCCAGCCGCCGCATCAGCGCATCGTTGGCGGAGCCGTCGGCCACGGATCCGGAGATGAAGTGGACCTTGGAGCGCATCTTCGCGTCGATGAGCTTCGCGGAGAAGGCCCACAGGCCGGAGAACACGCGCGGCGGTCGGTAGACGATGATGTGGCCTAGAGAGAGGCTCGACACGCCTCGGGGCAAGGGCGAGGACGCCCGACGTGGGCAGGCGACGGCGAGGCCCGCAGACTCGGGGAAGTGGTTCATGAGCATCTCGAGCGTCTCCTTGGCGTGCGAGGGCGGCGGCGAGTTGAGCAGCGAGAAGCGGTGCAGCTTGATGACGATCAGCAGCTTGTCCGGCGGCGGGGGCTGCAGCCCGGGCGCAGGCGCCCCTCCCTCGCCACCGCCACGCGCGCGCGCGAGCTCCGCCTGCCGCAGCGCGAGCTGGATGCAAAAGGCGAAGTAGCGCATCGAGGCCTGCAGCGAGGAGCCGGAGCGCTGCACCGAGTTGTCGAGCACGAGCACGCCTCTCCCATGGCAGTCCACTCCGTCCGGAACGTAGACCTTGCCCCGGCCGCCCTCGAGCCGCAGAAAGGCGCCGTCGGCCGAGTCGAGGTCGCAGAGCGGGCCCGGAGGCGAACGGCGCACCCGCCACAGCAAGGCGGCGTGCAGCATGTCAGCAGCAGGAGGGACGGCCCAGCCGCGCGCCACCAGGTAGCGGCAGCAGGCCAGGTCGTCGTCCAGCACCGCCTCCTCGTCCTCACCCAGCGAGATCCCTGCACGCGCCACGCTCTTGCGCACAGTCTCACGAAGCGCTGCGAGTGCCTCCCGTTGATCTGCGTCTTGCAGCGGGAGCGGCGGCACCGAACGAAGGTGCACGCGCGGGACCAGGTGCTCGCCGGCGGCGGCGGCGGCGGCGGCGGCGGCGGCGGCGGTGACGGCGGCGGTGACAGTGGCGGTGGTGGCGTCGGAGCCGGAGCGAGGCAGCGCCTTGAGCAGCGTTGCGAGGGAAGAGAGCCGTCGGAGGAGGTGGAGCAGGAGGAGCACGTTCACGATCTGCAGCCAAACGCGAAGCTGCTGGAGGGCCTCGCCATGCGGCAAGCTCGCCGTCGACAGCAGCGAGCCGAGCATCCAGGCGTGCGCGAGGCGGCCCGGGGGAAAAGAAAATAACGCACGGGCCCTCAGCGGAGCTGGGAAGAGGACCGCCGCAAGCGGCGTGGCGTGGAGCGGTTGTGCATCCCTCCGGGGGCCCCTCTGCGCCGGGGAGGCGTTGTTGGAGGCTAGGACGCAAGCGTCCTTCGCCCTTTTCAAACTCGGGGCCCACTCCGCTACGCTCCGACCCGAATTTGGAGGGCCTAAAAGTTTAAGGTGTTGCTGCGCAAAAGGGGTCGGACACCGGGCGCAGCTCATGCTAAGAGCTAGAAGAGGAGATAGAGAGAACAACCACCCTGTCCCGTTATTGCGTACACCAACACCACAAAACGCTCTCTCTCTCCTGTCCTCACTCAGGGGGGTCACAACTACCAAGTCCCTCGACTAGCTGCCACAGGGCGCAGCTGCCACAGGGCGCAGCTGGAGACGCTCCCCCTCAATCGGCATCCACCCCCACCCGCTCCAGCCCCACTTCTGCTGCCGAGAGAGCTGAATCGAAGCAAGCGAGCCATTGCATCTTGGCGTGCTCCTGGAGCGCGGCTTTCTGCGGCCACGAGCACGGCGGAGTCGGCGTCGTAGCGCGCATCGTTCCCGCTCATCGCCCATTCCTCCCACGTGACGTGTGTCGGCCGCGATTCGATGTCGCCACCTTCATCGCCAACGAGGACTCCCCCGACTGCAGGGGGGCTCCGGCGCGGGGAGGGACTCCGCCTGCTGCGCTGGCCGACTGCGCCCTCCTCCTCCATGGGCTCGATCCGATTCCGCAGCGGCGGTGCTGCGCGGGAGGCGGCCGCGGGCACGCTGGGCTCGATCAGGAGCTTTCCCTCAGGTCGAAAGCACGATTTGGCCGGTTCTTGGCTTCAATTTTACGGATGTCTTGGCACCAGCTGAAGGCTTGGGTCCGACATCGTCGGATTCGTGCACGGTATTCGGATTTTGCTATTTGCTCGTGTGGGGGTATATCGCAGATTTGTCAATGGTACCGCGTCTGCGACGCGGGCGCCTTGCGGGCAGAGCCCTTAGCCACCCTTTTATCTTGCGCGGTCAAAATGCAGAAAAAACTCTTTCGTGCAGCCGACTCGCCCTGCAGCTCCGGCTCCTGCTCCGCACGCTGGCACCGACATGCAATCTGACGCGCAGCAGCACGCGGCCCTCGCCACATACGCACGCTTCTGGTGCCTGCACCAGCTCGCGCCGTTCGCCGACCAGGCCTTTGCGCTTGCGGGAGCTATGGATCACCGTGCGCTCCGCCCGCCCGCCCTGCTCGCGCCTCCTAGGACGGGTCATTGTTCTCGACACAACCAGTGCGGCGCGACGAGCTTCCGCGGCTGCTCTCACTCCTCCTCCTTCCGAGCAGGCATGATCGACGAGAGCTGCCAGACCGGGCCAGGCGCCTGCTTGCGCGCCCACTTTGACTACGACTGGCTCGTACGACTGCCGCTCGCGCTGGCCTGCCTGCTCTTCCCCGGCCGGCGGCTCCTCCTTCTCGCGCACCTCGTCAACGTCGTCGGATGGGCCGACCGGATGCCGGCCGGGCCGGACTTGCATGTCCGCAGACCAGAGAGGGTCCGTCTCTGAGCCGTCGCTCGAGCGCCTCCTGCTAGGCGGTGTGGGACTATATGTGCTGGTGCGCGCTGATGGAGGCCCCCTTCGTGCTCGCCGCCGCCACATCCTCCTCGATGGCGGAGACGGCTCGCAAGTTCCTCCCGGCGATGCGCGCGCAGCTAGTCGTCCTCTACTTCTCGGCCGCCTTTTGGAAGCTCACTTCCTCGTGGTGCGAGATGCAGACGAGATGCAGACGAGACGCAGACGAGATGCGGCCGCCTGTTGGAAGCTCTAATCCTTCCCGGCAGGTACGACGGCCACTACTCGTGCTCGACAGTCCTCATGTCGGAACTGCTCCTCTCGCCGCGAGCCGCTCCTCCCCGCCGCTCCAGCCCCGTACCCCCAGCCACGCCACGGAATAGGAGCTCCTCTCTTGCCTCGAGCCCCTCGGAATGAGCCATTCCTTCACCAGCCACGCCTCAGTCGATAGGAGCTCCTCTCCGGCCTCGAGCCCCTCTTCCCGCCCCTCGCCACCCTGAGCGGGCTCATGCTGCACGCGGCGCCCGCCCTCGTCGCCGGCATCGAGTTCGCAGTGCCGGCCCTGCTGCTCCTGCAGCCACGCCACGGCAACCCTCCCTCTCCAACCCTCCTCTCCAACCCCTCCTCCCCGCCTCGCCCCCCTCTCCTCCCCCTCTCCCTGCACGCCCCCGTCCCGCCCCCCTCCGGCTGCTGCTCGCCCTCATCTTCCACCAGACCTCCTGACGACTGACCTAAGGACTGACTCCTCGTTCATGATGACTCACTAGGCGTCCTGCTCGCCCTCGTCTTCCACCAGACCATCAACCTGATGCCAGCCACCTACGCCGGCGGCTTCTCCATCGCCATGTGCGCGCGACAAATCATCTTCCTCCCCGCCGCTGCCGCCGGCGCATCGGCAACTCTCCGCCGCGGCGTCGGCTTCGCTCCGCGGGCCGTCGGCGCCACCGCGCTCGTCGCCGTCACCACGGGCGTGCGGCTGTTCCTCGGCCACACTCCGGCCACACCTCGGCCACACCTCGGCCACCCCTCGGCCACACTCCGGCCACCCCTCGGCCACACCTCGGCCACACCTCGGCCACACCTCGGCCACACCTCGGCCACCCCTCGGCCACCCGTATGGAGTGTGGTCAACAAGCCGGCGGTGCGGTCGTGATGTCGAAAATGCGGGCTGAAAGAAAGACAAGGATAAAGTACCTCCCCGCCAGGCGTGATGGTCGCCATCCACGGCTCGCTCGACGCGCACGGCGGCATCTTCCTCGCCCTCGCCCTCTTCTACTTCCTCTCGATCGCCGCGCCGGCAGGCGGTGGCGGTGGCGGTGCCTCGGGCGCATACGGACACCTCCGCCTCGAGGAGCAGCCGCACGCTGTCGCCAAGATGGCGAACCGACTACTCCAGCCCGACTACTCCGGCCCTACTCCAGCACAGCCACCCCAGCCCGACTCCAGCCCAACTGCTCCAGCCCAGCCAGCGTAGCCCCCCCCCCCCCCAAC